GCTCTATGGAGTCATCCTTTATATTTCTACAATCTTACGTCAATGCAGAATGTGTTGCTGTAGAATAGTGCGAGTGAGAAAAGCAAGAACTAGCAAGTGATCTACTGCTCTAGATACCCAGTCATGGCGCAGGACGGGTTGATTGTCTAGCAACTACCTACATTGACCAGCTATGTAATGGCCCCAATGACCTTTCAGCCTTCATGCAGGACCTTGATCGTTGGCATGATAGATTCGTGAATGTCCGTGCTAGCTCGATTGAAAAAAGAAAAAAATAAAAAAGACCAGAGAAAAAATTCAATAAAAGGAATAAAATAATGTCATGTAACTGACTGAAAAGACAAATGATGGCACAAATAAATATGCAAATTTGTGAAAACCGACGATGTAATTGGTCAATATAGACGACAGTAGATTCTTTACGATTTTTCACAAAGAGAAAGCGAAATACAAGGAAATTTCTTTTTCTTCCTCTATGTTCCGTGTCCCTTCAGGACGTTGATGGTCATAGCTCTCCGCAACTTCCTGTCCTATATAGCTCTTAATATATTTTGTCTTTTTATTCAGTCAGTTATACGCCATGCGTTGATACACGCTTAGGCGATCATGTATCTTTCGATAGGCAATTTTTTTCCCGCAGTAGGTTGCTATTTCTTTCTGCGGTAGACCAGTTGCCATTCAAGTTTACAGAACCCAGTCTGTTCTGCTATTTAACCATAGCTGAGGGGAACAAGAAAGGCATGAATTCTCTTCTTCTCCCCGTCTCTAGCTATGGGTAAATAGTTCCGCCATCAATTTACTCAAGCACTGTCGATAGGATATCCGTTGTTTTACTCTGTCCCTTTTGCCTTTAATCTGTCCTGTGAGTATTAAAATTTCCAAGTCCTCTTTCCTCATTATGTAACCTAGAAATTTCAACTGTCTCTTTCTGATGTTAAGTAAAAGTCTCCATGTTGTTTCCATTTTCTCTAAAAGTTTGCCGTTGTCTACATGTTCGGTTCATGGTATCCTTAGCACTCTTCTGTAGAATTACATTTCTGTTGATTCAAGTCTTTTCTTCATCTGTGAGGAGATTATGCAGTATTCCATTCCATATATGACGACTGTAACAGTCCAGTACTCCTTTGTTTCTAACGAAATTTTCCTGTTTCTTAATACATTGCTTACCTTCTGGAATACATATTTCGCTATCACAATGTGTCACTTTCATTCCTCTGTTAAAATAATCCCCAGATGTTTAAATTGTTGTACTTGTTTGATTTTGGTTTGTCCAATTTGTAATTTGCATGTTAGATTCTTCATATTGCTGACAACTATGCATTATTATTTTATTTTATTTTTTGCAATTGATGCTTAGTCCTTTCTTCTCGCTTTCCTTCACTACCTTCTATAGGAGCCCTTGTAGTTTCCTGTGTCTGCTATCAACACTATCTCATCTGCATATATTATGTTGTTAAAACTTGTAATTCCCTCAGAATTGCCTCATCCAATGAGAAGACACATCCTTGTCTTTTTAGCCCTTTTAGCTAACAACTATGCATTCCATCTTCTTACAAATGATGTTTACTTCTTTCTTCTTACATTCTTTCATTACCTTCTGTAGGAGTTCTTGTAGTTTTCTTTATATATATATCTGCTATCAACATTGTATCATCTACGTATCTTATAATGTTAAGATTGTGGCTGCTAATAATGAATTGTATTAGGACTCCTAATTCTCTCAGAATCAACTCACTGTATAGGTTGAATAAGTCTATTGAGTAAACATATCCTTGTCTTACATCTCTTTCTATTTTTGTATATTTACTAAACTCATTTTCTATCCATATGCAAGGGGTTTGCGGCCAGTATAGGTTCTGGTTTATTCTAATATCCTTCGCAAATATGTCATGGTTAACGAGCAGTTCTGTCAGTTCGGCTGTAACGTACTTTGTCAAACGCTGTTGCATATTCAATAAAACACAGGTACACGTCCTTCTGCATTTGTATTTCTCTTTCTGGTACCATTGTGAGCACAAATATTGCATTCCTTGTTTCGGTGTCTTTAACGAATCTGCTTTTTTCGATTGTGGGATTCCATTCCGGTTCCATGCTTTCCGGCCAACTTTAATCTTCAAAAATTTAAATGTATTGTCAATCGCTATCTATTGTTCTCCTGATTACTCTTCTTCTGTATTTACTCCTTAGAGGCGATTCTATTTCCTTATTTTTCCACACCCAGTAACCCCTTGTGTCTTAGTGGCTTTATTGTCTTTCTCGGGGTGAACTTGATTTTAAAAAGGTTTAAATGTCTGTCTTTTCTTTATCTTTCATGTGAATGCCAGAAAAATATGAAAGCGTATTTTTGAATAACTTCAGAGTATATTAATGTTTATGAGAGAAAGCTGAAAGTTTTTGTAAATGTTATGCCGGATCGAAAGATTATATTTTTATATGGCAGTGAATGAAGAGGAGACTTGAAGTAGTGGAGATGCCGCTACACAGAAGGATACTGAGAATATCATGGACGAAACATGTGAGCATTGAGGAAGTTATCAGATATATGGAAACAAAAAAGGATGCTTGTGCTTAAGATCAGAAAAAACAGTTGAAATTTCTGGAACACATAAGGAAAGTGGGCTTGGAGAATCAAACACACATAGGACATAATGAAGGCAAACGAAGCGGATGGAAGCAGTAGGTAATATACCTAATCAGTTTGGGTAAATGGATGATAGAAAATAAACGGGGAGGAATAATTACAGATCAAAGACTACTTAGTGTTACAAGGGATAGGAAAACGTGGTGGTCCATGATCGCCCACGTGCTGAAGGGACACGGTACATAAAAGAAGTATGTCCATTTTGATGTTAAATATGCTTACTCAGGTTGGATGGGTGCACAGGAGCGAGATTTTGTTACTACGATCTTTATTATCCATAATTTAGAAATTCTACTTTTACCATGACTCGAACTCCCGCCATTGCCACTAGTAACAATTACGCAACTGGCACACCCATCAAGTAAGCCTTGCAAGTTATTACTTGAGTGAATTTATTTATTAACCGATAACTGAAAATCCGAGAATGAATTACACAAAAATTAAGTCATTTTGGTGTAAAGAGACTTCAATAAAATATAAGGAAAATTCATTGATTAATAATAATAATAACAATAATGATAATAATAATGATAATTGTTTTGGCCCGGTTCCTTGTACCACGGTGATAGTCCAAGGTAGAACCAATAAAGAAGAACTCGAACACAAGTATGGAATAACACAGATATATTACAAACAGGAATATATACAGAGAAGTAGAATTGTTAGTATGAACAATCAGGTTTAGTAGAGAACAATGTCGTCTTGACCAGTATCACTATTCCAATGTCTTGCAGTAATCGTCTGAACGCGACTCTGTTTCGGACTGCCTCTGACTCGACTCTTGACTCGACTTGAACTACTGACTCACGATATTGAGTCACCCCCCCCCCACGAGGGTGTCATGTGGCACAAGGCCTTTTTAACGTGGACATTCCCGAGCCATTAGGCTCGGCCAAAAAAATAGCCCATTTGAACCCGTATAAACGGGTTCAGGGCCGGTTTTACCTCCCCGAAGGAGACTCCGCCCTTCGGCGTAGCCTCCTTCGGGTTCCTCCCGCCCGTAGGAAGAGAATTCAAACCGAGCAGTCTGTTCAAAAGTGAAACTACTGACTCACTCCTTGCCTACTCCTGAGGCGCAGTATTTATTAAGTATGGAATAGTCTATTATTATTATTATTATGGGTAAGATCCCATAACAATAATAATAATAATGATAATAATAATAGAAATAATAATAATGATAATAATAATAATAAATCCTTGGATGTAATAGAGACTGAACATGACAAATATCCGGAAACTCCCGCCGCTTCAACAACGAAAATTAAGTTACTGGCTAAAGCTGTTTATATAAAGTCTCTTGAACAAAAATGGAGATCTAAACCCTTGTATAGAAAGTACCCAATGCGTCAGGATGAACCAATCACCGATGTTCGGCAAACACATCAATGCCTTAGAATCAGTAGTTTTAAGAGTGAGGGAGACAGAAAGTCTCATTACGGCAGTGCAAGACCAATATGTTTCAACCAATGCCTCCAAAGCTAAAATCAACAAAAATTACCTAAATTCCTCCCGTCGCTTATGCCATAAATTTGATGAAACTATTGACCACACAGTATCAAGGTACCCAATTCTTGCTGAGAAAGAATGCATTATTATACATGACAGTATAGGACAATATACTCATTGGCATATATACTTGAGCTATGGTATTGAAGTCTCAGATACATTGTACAAACACCAGCTGAATGATGTCACAAATGGTTATGGAGTGACTTTACTGTGGAATTTCCCAAATCCTCACAGACAGGAAAATTTATGCAAATAGACCAGACGTCGTCATAAAAGATTACAAAAATGGAACGTGCCAACTAATTGATAGGATTTGTCCGCAGGATTCCAGTGTTTATAAAAAAATTTCCAAAACTGTCAAATTATAAGGACCTTCAAATCAAAGTAAAAAAAAAAAAGATCTGGAAACTTAAAACTACGATGATCCCTTTTGTTGGGATAGAAAGCATTGGGTAGGATAAAAAAGGGTACCGAAAATCATGTGAGTACAATTCCTGGACACATCAGCACCTCAGAATTGTAAAAGATTACTTTGGGTGGGACTGCATATATCATCTGCCAAAACCCTCTGCATCTAAACAAAACGCCCGAAAATGTGCATAGATAACTCTTCTACACGTCACTTTTTACATATAGTCACTGCGGGGGTGGGGGACTTTCGGTAATTAGGTACATAAAATTACTCTCTGTCAAGATGATACTACTGACAATAATAATAATAATAATTACAACAACAAGTTCAACAACAATAATAATAATAATAAAGATAGATGAATACATGGATTGAAATAAAAAGTTAATTAAATTCCTTAAAAAATTCAAATGAATGACGTTGCAATTTTTGTACTGCGTACATAAATATGTATATTAGATATGAGCTGGTTTACATAGATAGATAGATAGATAGATAGATATGAATAGAATGAGATAGATAGATAGATAGATAGATCTGAACAGAATGAGATAAATAGATAAATCTGAACAGAATATGATAGATAGATAGATAGATAGATAGATAGATATGAAGAGAATGGAATAGATAGATAGATAGATAGATAGATAGATAGATAGATAGATAGATATGAAGAGAATGGAATAGATAGATAGATAGATAGATAGATAGATAGATAGATAGATAGATATGAAGAGAATGAAACAGATAGATAGATAGATAGATAGATAGATAGATAGATAGATAGATAGATAATGTGACTTACCCTCTCAGTAATTGATCAGTTACATAAATAAAAGAAATCTACTTCCACATAATGGTAAATAATTTTTCCTTATTTATATAAGCTTTTCAAATCGCCATTCCATGTTTTTTCTCATATTAAATTGTTTTCTGGAGAATTTCATATTTATTTGAAAACGACTCCGACTGAATAACACACCTGACTCTTCAATGTAATGATACGCAGCCAATCACGATTCTTTTGTCTTATCGATAAAACCTCATGAAACATCAGGTAGATTTATCTTCAGCATCCTATCAGATGAACCTTCATCTACACGCTTAATTGGCCTGTACACTTGTCGCTGCAACTTGAACGGAAGGGACGCGGTAAAACGAAAATGTTCCCGCCCATTTATTTATCGGATGCACATTATTCCTAAAACGCGAAGACACACTTGATCGACTCAGAATTTTGCACTGTTTCACTTTTCGGTGACAACAGCCATTGAAATTAAAATTATTTTTTAAAAAAATTGGTTTTACTGGAAACGGGGCAAACCACTATTTAATAGATTCATCCATCCATTACAAGGCCCAAGAGCCACTCAAGGTAGACAGTTACTGAATTAGTTCGTTGTAAGGGCATAAAATGAGTAAATAAGAAATGCTTATTATGAGAATAGGTGGGATAGATAAGGGTTGTAGTGATCGATGAAACATTCTTTCGGGAGTCTGTTCACCCAAAGCAACGGCACTTGGAAAGAATCTGTTCGAATGGAACTTCTTCGTTAAAAATGGTATATGAAGAGAATGAAGATGATTCAATCCTGTGGATATGGCATGGTGAGTCATAGCAGTAAAGTATAAAATTTACGCTCTCTTCACAGTAATAGTCTCTGGAAAAGAATGAATCCATTTATCCCCAACCGCAGCGATGTGATTGTAGAGCAGGTTGTTCTTTTTAGTCATCAGAGGGTGTTGTGTCGGAAACCTACCACCCCTCTTGAAGATGAACTTGTCTGCGAACAAAGACTTTAAATAGTGGCATGTCGGGAAGACAGATAGACAGAGAAGTTCTTAGCTGAGCTAGTTATTGACTACTCAGGCGATTTCTGTACCTTTTTACCAACCTATTAAAACCCTTTTTATTGTTACGTGTTATTTGGAGTTTGTCTCTACTAACCCCAAATCAACATCATAACAGAGGGCAACCAATCTAGGAGAAGAATAATTCTCCTCACACGTCGTGGTTTAGTGTTGCTCGATTACACACATTTTTTACTACTTGACAGACTTTGGTAAGAACTGGTTCCTGTATTCTTAAAGAACATGTCGACTTTTGGCGATTATGGCTATCCACAGATTCTTTATTATCCGTGAACTGTCATGACTTTTGGAGAGAGTTAGGGATTTTTTTTCCGTTGGCTTCTTCCTAATTTTCTATTCAGTGTTGTTTTTCTCCTTGAACTGTTATCACTGAAACCATAAATGGAGGAGAAGAGATGGAGCGACGTATTTCACAAGAATTGGACGCTATCCTAGCCATCCATGCGTCATCTCGTAGGAGACTGAAAAAAGTTTAGGTGATATCGACGGATAGACGAGAGATCTGTTTGAAAAGTAACGGCATTTATCCGTCCTTCGATTTGAGAGGCGTCGTCCATAGTGAGTTCTTGCTACAGGGCCAGACGATCAATCAGCAAGTCTACAAAGAGATACTGTGGGGTTTGCTTCACTCAGTGCACGAGAAGAGACGAGAGTTGTGGCAGGACAAATCGTGGCTGGTGCATCACGACAATGCACCTGCTCAAAACGGACTGAGTATCCAGCAGTTCCTGATCGTTGTACTTGGGCAACCTTCCCATTCACCTGATCTTGCTCTGTGTGACATTTTTCTTTTCTCCAAGAAATATATATATATATATATATATATATATATATATATAATTAAATAAATAAATGACTTCCGGCAAAATAACCGCCACAATAGACTACCCACAATACACCACTGACCCGTATATATAAATAGCCGAGAAAAAACAGCACTTGTGGCCTGACGATTGCATATATCATGAAACAGCCTGTCGCCTCAAAGTGTTGACTTCAATGTTCACTTTTATATTTACACACGTTCTATCTCTGATATTGAGCACTTCATCCCATAAATATAGCACACCTTAAGAGTATATTTCTTCATATATATATATATATATATATATATATATATATATATATATATATACCAGTCTGACCTGCTATTTACCCAAAGCTAGAGGGAAAAGAAGAGGATTCACACCTTTACCAAGGTTATTAGCACGTAAGTGAATGTAATGGATTCGACTGGAATTCGAACTCGGCTCTCCGATTTCTCAATCCAAGCCGATATCCCCCGTGCCGTGACAGACTGAGTTCTATAGCCTTGGATGGCAACTAGTCTTGAAGAAGAACAACTCTGAATTCAAAACCCGCGGAGGGTCGTTTGGGGACCCTGTGGCACGTAGTGCACCAAGTCTGTATTCGACCCTTCAAAAAGTGTGGATGGTCTAGCACAAATCCTTCACCCCTGTAATCAAATCTCATGTGCTGGTGTCAGGCTGTCAGTTTCCTAGGAACTGATCTGCTTGACCCTCATACGTCGAATTCGACGGGCGAGTCGAGTATATATATATATATATATATATATATATATATATATATATATATATATATATATATGCATATTTCATTAAATAATATATACAAGTTTTGTCTATTTATTTTAAGTAAGTCCCATTCATATTGTCTGATAAGCTTAATAACATTATCATTGAGAGACGAAAAGAAATCGCCATATTGATACATGTTTTTTAATCCTATCTAAGCTTTCGGTTTACATAAGCCATTATCAAAGATGACAATAAACTTTTCAATATATTAAACGAAAAATTTAGATTGGATATAAACATGTATCAGTATGGTGATTTCCTTTCGTTTTTCAATGATAATGTTATTAATCTTATCAGACAATATGAAAAGAACATAACATAAATAGACAAAACTTGTCTATATTAAAAATAAATTATTTAAATTAAACATATAGATCAAACAGCATTATTTAAATATATAGATTATACAAAATAAAATAGAATGCAGCTGTTGACTAAAGGGTCTTTATATAAGGTGTTAATTAAAGGGTCTTTATATAAGGTGTTAATTAAAGGGTCTTTATACAAGGTGTTAATTAAAGGGTCTTTATACAAGGTGTTAATTAAAGGGTCTTTATATAAGGTGTTAATTAAAGGGTCTTTATACAAGGTGTTAATTAAAGGGTCTTTATACAAGGTGTTAATTAAAGGGTCTTTATATAAGGTGTTAATTAAAGGGTCTTTATACAAGGTGTTAATTAAAGGGTCTTTATATAAGGTGTTAATAAAACCAATCAATGCAAAATGTCAAAATGACAGCCGAACGCCTATACATCTACACTAAATATTACCAACACTACCTGAAGAATAATATAAAAATTATACTATTTTAAAATTGATCTTACTGACAAAAGACAAGCCTTATATGGTGCAACTAGGTTTAACTAAAATCAAAGAAGAAGCAATTGTCAAATTTCAAAATCTAGCAATATTGTAGAATCAAAGATATATTTTTACAATTAACCGTTAATTCAAATCTTTGTTTTAATCAAGCATCACTATTCAAGAACCTGATAATCTGCATTTTTTTCCTGTAAACAGAGAAAACAAGGTTCATATCAAGATCAACATATCCTTGCCAGTTTTAAAATTTTCCATTTCACTTAGGAGTTTTATTTTCATCTTTCAACCTTCAAAAAAATTTTGAAAGTGAAGCATTATTTCTATAAGTATGATTAGTAAAAGACGATATGTGTTGATACTACCGGGTTTTGAAAGATTTCTTAGTACTACCAATATAAATCTTTTCAACCCTCGGATTTTTTTTAAAGATAGAACAAAGATACCCAAGAGATTCGGTTAAACATTTGTTTGACAATGGGCATTGGTTAGGATTTCTACAATTACATTGTTCATTATCCTTAACAATATTTTCATTGATACTTGTTTTATGATTAAGATTATTAAATTGGTTTAGAGTTGTATCGTTGTGCAACTTTATGATTTTCTCGAGATTATTGGTGCAATTATAACTTAGATTTAATGTATTTCTATTAAACATTTTACTAAGAGGGTTGCTTTTCGGAAAATGATTATCAATCAATTTTCGAAACTTATGGCTTATCCTAGTAGAAACGAATTGATTAAATGGGGGGTGGGTTCTACCAGATGATGTTCCTATTGCTGTTTCTTTTCTTTGAATTACCGTCATCACATTTTCTGAACTGAATTTTGGTGCGGTTATAACCGCTATTCTTAAGAACTTGTACACACTGTTATGTTTCTTAAGCACATCTTTGTCAGCAACCACTCATCTTTACTTTTATAGTCGTCCCGGTTTGCAAACATTGTATTCATCCAGTTTGTCACTCTGGTTCCTTTTATTGCCTTACCGATATTATTCTGTCTTTCTGTCTCAAGTATTCATTACTGACGAGATGATCATTTCATTATGGCTGCAATCATTTCCACTAAACCCCCGTAAAAATGTTTTGTTCATTTACGCGGCCTTGTGGGTGATGAATTATTTTCCGCCCTACAACCCATGTCCCATAGACAGAAACGTAGCCTCTCACTACTCTCTTGCTATTTCTATGGAAAATGTTCTGAAGAACTAAATTCCTTAGTTCCACAGCTAGTACCCACCGTGTCACCTACACAGGATCGGCTCATCCTTATTCACTTTGTATTCCATTAGTAAGGAGGAAGTTTCACTCAGACTGCTTCTTCCTCAGAATGGTTACTCTATGGAATAGACACCTGAGAGAATGCTTCCTTGATAACTACAGTCTTAAATTCTTTAAGCCTGAAATCAACCATTATCTATCCTACATATCCTCATGATAATCATTTCTTACCCCCCCTTACGCCCTTACAACCTCAACTAGAATAAGAAAAAGAGTAAGAAAGAGAAGAGAGGGGTTTGTTTTGTTTATATCCAAATCAACCAATCGGAACGGCCTACGCTAAGTTCATTAATTTCCTTCGGCTTATCAATCTTATAATTACAAAATTTACATAATCTAAGTGGATTAAAACTTTGGCTCGTGGATTTGGTAGTATAGTAATTGCGAGTTTAATCCCTGTGCCGGACAGTGCACACGTGGACTCAGTTGGAACGAAGAGAGCAGTATTAAAAATAAGAACTAGATGAGGTATCCTTAGACATGGTCGGGGAGACGTGAACATCTATCCTTGTTGATTAAATAAAGGGTTTCAGTTCGAAATTCCCTGAGGATTGACAAACATCTGTTAAATACCGGAAGGCACTTTGACCAAAAATCGTTACGACAATAACAATAAAGTTGAGGATAATATTCCTCATGAAAATAACTCGTCATTCTCAACATAGTCAGAAACAAAAATTGTTGCCACTTGTTCGTTTGTAAAAGACGTCGATTAACTCTGACCTGAATAATAAAGTTAAGATTCATTAAAAACGTATTACTCTTTTACTGTTATTCACGATGTCGTGAGTTGTAGCGCCAACAACGATGATGACGGTGTTTCATTTCGATAGAAACGCAAGCAAAATATATATTTACCGACCAACACATGCAACAGAAACTTTTAGCGATAATCTCCAGAGTAACCAGTTACCGACTTATTGATTCTTCGACTTTCCTGCGTTTCTATTCCGGAACAATGAGTGGGATGAGGTGGGATCAACACTGGGCTCTATCGGAGAATATGTGTGAGGATTTATCTGGGATTTATTCTGTGTAACGGATGTGAAATATACGACTTACGACTAAAAGTCCATTAAGGCGTGGATATTTTTGTTCTTTTTTTTTGTTGTTTATTTTTTATTTATTTATTTATTTTTTTGCTTTTCTTCTATTTTTTTCCTTTTCTTTTCTTCTTGGGCAGGTGATTAATAACGTGAAAGAAAGAAAGAAAGAAAGAAAGAAAGAAAGAAAGAAAGAAGGGATATGAAACATAAAGAAGGAAAAGAAAAGAGACAAGGTGGGAAATAGAGGGAAGAGTAAAAGTAAAAGTGAAAGAGAGAAGGGAAAATATAAAACAGCAAAGAGATTGAAAGAGAAGAGAAATAAAGAGAATGACTGAGAATGATGCAGAGAAAAGGAGAGGACATGACAGAATGAATGGAGAGAGTATAAAAGAAGACAAGTGGGAAAAGAGAAGGAAAAGAAAAGGAAAAAGAAAAAGAGAGAGGAGCGGCGTGAGAAAGGGAATAACGGTGGAAAAAGAATGAAAAGAGAAGAAGGAGAAAAGAGAATGAATTTATTATGTTATATCTAATGTCAAATTCAATAGCTCTCTCCTAGAGAGTTCGAGTCTCATATGAGGTAATTTCTTTGTTTCGAATATTCAGATTTAATTTTAAGAATATCTAAATGAAAACCGTTGTCAAAAATCGTTATATATGCATCGTTGATAGATAGATAGATATGAACAGAGGCTGAGATAGATAGATAGATAGATAGATAGATAGATAGATAGATAGATAGATAGATATGAGCAGAGGCTGAGATAGATAGATAGATAGATAGATAGATATGAGCAGAGGCTGAGATAGATAGATAGATAGATAGATAGATAGATATGAACCGAGGCTGAGATAGATAGATAGATAGATAGATAGATATGAACAGAGACTGAGATAGATAGATAGATAGAAAGGAATTGGTTTACATAAATATGTCTACATTTAGGTAGGTTTACAAAAGAGTACAAGACATGAACAAACGAATATACATCAGCACCAGTGCGTGCGTGCGTGCGTGCGTGCGTGCGTGCGAATATTGAGAGGCCCTCAAAATAAATATCACCATTGTTGACCAGAGTTGTTAAATTGACGCTTCTCATCGGCTATTTGTTCCTCGACTGATGATTCGGTATTTGACCAACAAATTATAGAAAATTTGTATCTTCCATTTTCCTTTTGTTGTTATTGTTCGCGTCAGAACGAAGTGGAATGCTTCCTGAATGTCATCCTAAGTTGGTGCATTAAACTCGATACACGAATCAATATTTAGACAAGAGGTTATGGAAGTACTTGAAGTAATAGACTCATCCATAAAAGATTCCTGTCAATCGATTAGAGACGACATGCAACTTGTCCGTTCTCGAGATGCAAACAAAACATGAATGATTTGATGTCCTCTCCGTTATTTAGACGCTAATGTATAAATGCTATTTCCCGCGGTTAAGTGTGTTGTTATTGATATAGTGGCAGAGAACAATATTAAGGATTATGGGAACAAGCTTTCGTTTTATATGGTATTTGATATGCTGAAATTTTGTGCAATTTTTAATTAAGGCTTTTCTTTTTTTAGACATTTTAACAACATGGAATTTGTAAATAGAAGTAAATAGATGCATTTTCTTCCAGTTTTTTCCCCAATTTTAGAACGTCAAAAACACACAGAGAAATGTAGGTATTTATTAGTACGTCAACTCGAACGCAAAGCTAAATTTAAATTTGGCGCTTAAACGTACAATATCTAAGAACAAATAATTATTTAAGCCTCCACGGCACTTCTTTTGAAGATACTTCACCAGCCAAGTAATGACCTTAGACCCTCTGGAGGGAAAAGTATTGCCTGGGTCGATGGCCTCTTGGGACCTGAGCACCATATACTAAATGTTAACATACGGCCCGGTTACGTACAGAGGGAAATCAAGACTATTGCATACAATAAACACTTACGAGGCTTAGTAATAAGACTGCAGATTGACACACTTATTAACTGAATTGATATCTTTTATTTTTAATCGGTATTACCCTATGGAAGGTAGTAAAGCCATTAAGACAGAAGGAGTTACAGCGTGCGGAAGAATTAGGAATAGAAACATTACTAATCAGCGGGAAGAGAAAAGAGTAATCAGGAGGACAGTAGATTGTTATATAGGAATAAAGTGTCGCTGCCGACACTTGAGTTTGAACATCGATCGCCAGTGAGCAAACACAGGCGATCCCATTATTGAATTAAGTAGACCACGTGACCATAGAGGAAACGCATATATGTAGGAAGTACCCGACGACTAACGATCTCTATTTCTGGTCTATCCTCTATTACTATTCGGATCGCTATTTCTAGTCTATCCTCTTCACTGTAAAATCGTCACATGTTGTACTCGTAATGTTCACTGTATAATCCGCACATGCTGTACTCGTAATGTTCACTGTATAATCCGCACATGCTGTACTCGTAATATTCAGTGCATGATCCGCACACGCTGTACTCGTAATGTTCAATGTATAATCCGCTTACGCTATAGGACGAATATTCACTGTATAATCCGCACATGCTATCCTCGTAATGTTCACTGCATGATCCGCATATGATGACCTCGTAATGTTCACTGTATAATCCGCTTGTGCGGATTATACAGTGAACAATTTATACATTAAAGTTCTAAACTCCGTATATTACTTTTAATTTCGGGCAAAAATAAAGACAAAAATAGTCCAATGTTCGGATATGTTTTTTTATTTAGCTGATCCTTGATCTAAGCTTTCGGCTGCCATCTTCAGAGTGCTTATGCGGCCATTTAAACAAACATATGGGTCCAGTAGGTCCCATGTAAATATTTAAATGAGATCTAATTGAGTTATGGTCAGAAAGGTGTAGTGTGAGTCTTCGTGTCAAACATGTAGTATGAACGATATAATTATTTACGAATTTTAATTGATCAGGAATACAATTCCTTAATGGACATTTAAATTTGGAAATTTATCTATATATATATATATATATATATATATATATATATATATATATATATATATGAGAAAATGTGACACATTTCTGTATATCAGGACAAAGGCGATTAAATGACAAACTGTAAAAATATCTGTGTAACTCGTTTCGTCCTCTAGAAAGACTTCATCAGACTAAAGTAATGTTTGTTTTTTATCGATGGATTTATCCATATGTAAGATGTTAGATATAAACTCGATCCTCGGTTATAATTATGTATCGAGGGAAAGTGCTGAAATGCAGAAAAATTCTAAAATATTTTAGTTTTTCGTCAGGCGTGTCTGGGCTCACTGCCTAGCCGATCTCATTCATTTTCCATACACTTTTTTTTGTTTTAAAGGATCCGACATTGTGATAACAGAAGATCTGCCAAGAAAGGTGAAATGTTGTAAGAACGTGAACACAATTTTGCCGTAGATGCTTCAGCAATCGGTGCACTTTCCATACAATTTCGCTTTTTATTAAAAAAAAGAAAATAATTTACAAACAGCGGCATCTTTCAAGCTGCACAAGTTGTATAACAAAAATGTCATTTATTACGTTTTCGACTTGTCAGTTATTATTGTCTCAGTATTTTTTTCATATAAGATTTTAATTTCAGTTAATAACAACGACAACCAGCAGTCTTAGATATAATGCAAGTGTTCATCACTTTCCGGATTATTTATTATGCCATTTCTAAGAGGCTTCTTTTTTTTTGTAGCAGCTCAACTGAAGCAAATCAATGACAATTTTCATTATCTCTATTCTCTTAGCCAGCATAACCAAACACAGCAATGACAACTGGTATGATTGCGACTATTTCTTTAAATTTCAAAGCCTTACAAATTGAAACTTCAATGGGTCATAGTCGGTTACATTCTTTTCTTCCTAGCATCAACAGAAAACTACGAAACAATGGCTGACTCTTCTTTTGCTTATTTTAAATTCCTACCCAGTTATATTTCACCGCTTGGTTATACACCAGCTTCTTATTTCTTTTGTAATGACAAATCCAAGAAAACGGCTTTCCAAGGTTTATGGTTGGGGCATTCCTTTTTTAGTGGATTATTATTATTATTATTATTATTATTATTATCATCATCATTATTATCATCATCATTATAATTATTATTATCATCATCATAATTATTATTATCATCATCTTTATCATCATTTTTTTTTAAGCTTTTCACCCCAAGCAAAACGAGAAGCCACTAGTACGCAAGGGGTTACAGATAATTTGGAGAAAGATCAGATAGGAATCATAGAGGAAAGGATGAAGGGAAGGATAGTGGATAGATTAAAGCAACTGGAGATGTCGATTGACATTAAATTTGAATAGCTGGAGATTATAGCTCTCAAGGAAACTGCAATAGGGAAGGGAGTTCCACAGGCGAGAGGTGCGAGACATGAAGCTATTAGAGTAGAAGAGACGGCTACATTTAGAAGTTTCGACAGTGAAGGGGTGAGAGCGGGATGCCAGCCTCGTATGGCGCTTGAACTCATGACGTCTGGGAACCAGCGAATGCAGCTCCTCGGAACAATTTCCATGAAAGTATTTGTAGAACAGACAGAGGGAGGCGACGGCGCGTCTGTGAGAAAGTGACTGTAGACGAGACGCCAGGGCAGGGCCAACCACATTGCATATCCGCCTCTGGAGCCTATCAAGAACCCCGAGGCAAACAGAAGGGGCACCAGACTATATATGGCATCAATACTCCATGCAAGAGTGAATTGTTGATTTGTAGATCTGGAGGATCGATTCCGGGGAGAAAAATTTCCTGGCGTGGCACAGGGAGCCAACTTTCCTTGCGGTTGACGAAGCAATTGACTCAATGTATTTGTTCCATCTCAGGTCAGCAGTCAACGTGAGACCGAGCAGCCGCAGAGAGGTGCTCTCGAGAAGTTGAGCGTCAGACATTCTAATGGGGGGGGGAGGAAGGATCTCTGTGGTGATTAATAGAGAGCAGTTTTGTTTTTGAAGCATTAAAGTTGCCCAGCCAATTCCTGCCCCAGTTCACAATCGATTAAAGGTCCTTTTCGAGACGCACGGCCAGGTGAGTTTTGTCAGTGACACTAGATATGTTTTTGAGGCAGGAATAAATTGTGGTGTCATCCGCGTAGATGCCAACTTGGGAATCTATGGCGTCAGGAAGGTCATTTATGTAGATAAGGAATAGAGTAGGGACTAGGATGGAGCCTTGAGGAACACCTGCGTTCGAGGGATAGGAACTGGAGGAGAATCCGTTGAGAACGACCTTTGATTCTGTTGAAACTTGACTAATGCATGGAATAATAATGCAACACAAAATGTACTTAGAACAAAATGTATTGAAACAAGAAAGTGTACACAATATTTACATATAGTCTTTTGTATATTCCTGGTAAGACCGTTCCTGGAGAATGTCTCAACTGAGTCGCAGTCGGGCAGAGTCTCTGGTTGAATCTCTTGATTCCTCCCTCTCTTCCATATTTATATGGTCGGTACTTCACTATGCAAATTAGGTGGACAACATATTCACGGTTTGACATGAATGATTGTATTAGGTCAAACAATCGACCCGTAATACCATAACCCTGGAGCTTGCGAAGAAGGCCGGCATGCCAAACCCTATCAAACGCTTTGGAGATGTCTAGGGCCACGGCACGAGCTTCCCCGTTATTTTGAAGAGCTTGGTAGACGGTTTCAGTGATGGCCGTAAGCACATCAGCTGTAGATCGAGATTATTATTATTATTATTATTATTATTATTATTATCATCATCATTATTATTATTATTATTGATTCTGAATATATCATGGTGCGGTTGCTGTGAAGATGTCTTGGGTAAAAAGGAAAGTTGCTACCTTTCAAGTTATAACAAGAACCTCAGACACACAGTACTTTTCGAACTATGCTTGCTGTAATAAATAAGGCAGATTTTTGTAGCGTTCACAAAGTTACACCAATTTGGTCGAGATATTTTAAACTGCAATGAGATGAAGATGACTTCCCCAGTTGCTAACCACTTAAACATTTTTCTCTAGTTTTTTTCCCCCACAATCTGGCCATCTTAAACTTAAGGTGTAGCGTGAGTCTTTGTGTCAAACATGTTGTAGTATGGCCTATTTAATTATTTACGAATTTTGATTGATCAAGAATACAGTTCCTTAATGGACAATTTTAGTTCAGATTAGTTGCTGGTCTTTTCTATTTGCTTTGCTCTTATACTGCAGACAGCAGGTATGGCAAACTCATTTATTTGGCACTCATTTTCAGTCGTGTTGAGGAATACTGTATCCGGTCTTCTGTGTTCAATAATTCGATCTGTTTAAAAATGATTGTCTTTGTTTTGTCTTCTCCATTCATTACTCTAAATGATACGTGATCGTACTTATTATTATTATTATTATTGTTGTTGCTATAAAGAGATGAAAAAGCGGGGGAAACAATGAAAGTATCAGTCATTGATCTCAGATATAAAAAAAATGGTTTCTATTTTTAAGAAAACTCAGTGCGTCTCCATTGATATAGAATCTTTAAAAAAAATAACTCTTCTCTCTTTTCAGAAGGAAGTGAATAAAGTAAATGCAATCAATAGACGTGACGAAGAAATATTTTTGAAACTTCTCAGCAAGAATGGAAAACATTTCTCCATTGCGTCAATAACACGTCGACTGTCATGGACAAAAAAATAGATATCACATTGAAATTCCTCTCCCAACGAATGTGTTATTTATACAGAGAGAGAGGGGGGAGAGAGAGAGTGAGAGAGAGAATGAGCAGGAGAGAGTGGAGGAAGGAAAGTGAGAGATTAAGCAGAGGAAGGGGTAAGGAGATAGAGAGAATCTCGTGTGTATTTAAGGAAGAGTTGTAAAAAATATAGGACAAGATAGCAGGAAATGGCTGGAAAACAATAGAAATGTTTGTAGTAGAAGAAAAGCATGAAGAAGAAGAAGAAAAAGAAGAAGAAGAAGGTTGATACAATAGAAAGAGAGAAAGAAGTAAAGAAAAATACAAGGTAGCAGGAAATGGCGGGAAAACAATAGAAATGTTTGTAGTAGAAGAAAAGCAAGAAGAAAAAAGGGGAGAAGAAGAAGAAGAAGAAGAAGAAGAAGAAGAAGAAGAAGAAGAAGAGGGTTGATACAATAGAAAGAGAGAAAGAAAGAAAGAAAAATACTTTGAAAAAGAAAGGAATTAAGTAAAGAAAATATAAATATCCAGATATAGGGTAACACAAGTGATAAGCGGATAGAGTCGAGGTCAAGTTCAGGCCTAATCTGTTGCCTTTTTTCTTTTTCTTTTTTTCTTTTTTTGTTTTGTAATAACGTTCTTGAAAAGCATAAGGGTTCACCGGTCAGATACGGTCTCAGTCACCGGCCAGATATGCTCTCATTAGCAGGGCAGACTCAGATCTCTGGCCTTGGTAGGAAGCAAGTCTAGGAGAATGACTACTCTGAACTTAAAACCATTAAAAAGGCAATAGGGAAACACCATCTTTTACAGGAAGTCATGGCAATTCATAGATAATAAAGAAAAGAAATCAGTGGAGAACCATGATTATATACATCCAGATTGGACATGGCATTTGTAATCCAAACATTTGTATTTCAAGATTTGTAATTCAAACATATAAAAACGGAATAAATAAAGACGAGAAAAAAGAAATGTTTTGAAATAATCAGAATACAAAAAAAAAGGATTAGTGTAACGATATCAGGTTCAGTCGATATCTTGTTAAATGGAAACATATTTGCTGTCACAAAAATGGTTTCAGATATGTATCGCTCTGATAATTATCATCTAAGTGAAGTGGACCTCACAAAGACCATGGCAAACGGCGCTAACAAAAAGTGTCATTGAATAAAGCCAGACTTTGATAGATTATGTTTTTAGACAAAGATGACAAGACAATGAACAATGTCTCTATAAGACAGTGGTCACTACCAGCTTAAAAAGGAGAGACCCAGAGAATGATACAGAGAGAGACAGAAAACCGTTAGCTGCTACGCGAAAGGGAAGAGGCCCATTAGATTGTTCACTTCACTATAATTCTGCATAGCTCGTCTACAGTAGAAGGTTACAACCGGATAAAATTTTCTTACTGCTAAAATCGACTCAGGGTCACAATTCGTGCCTAACGATCTGCTCATTGGGGGCTTTTTACTACACAAGTGTTTGACTGGAAGAAATTGCACCTTGAGAACGAATCTGGTTTCTGGTCTGAGCTACAACGCTACATTAGGGGAAAGAAAGAAAGAAAGAAAGAAAGAAAGAAAGAAAGAAAGAAAGAAAGAAACGGGTGAGAAATAGTAAACTGAAAGAAAGAAAGAAAGAAAGAAAGAAAGAAAGAAACGGGGGAGAAATTGTAAATTGAAAAGAAAGAAAGAAAGAAAGAAAGAAAGAAAGAAAGATTTGTGGATGAAAATGTTGAAAGGAAAAGATAACAGAAAACGAAAGAAAAAATTATAATAAAAAAAGCAAAGTAAAAAGTAAAAGAAAAAGAAAATAAAAAATATTCTATTGATGATCAAATGACTGGGAAGACGTTTAAAAAATGAAATAAAAAAAATAAACTTTCACAATATCAACTGACACTCGACTCACCAACAATATTCAATGCACTGATTCTCGTTTAAGTAGAATGAAGTCTCGGATCTATTTGCAATGCGACTTATCTAAAAGACATATCGTTTGTGCAAACAAAAGCGAATTAATCATAAAAATAAATAGAAAACTGAACCTAAGTTCATGCAAGACGTTAACGAATCGGGGCTCGGGACAGATTTAGAATTGTCCATTGTCTACCAAATACATTGAGGTAAAGTGGTGAAGGATGGCATTAGAATCTGGTTATTGTCCACCTAATTCTCTCAATGATTGCAGTTCAATTTATAGTTTTATTTTCATAGCCAAGATGCAGTCCTGCATTCGCTAAAGCCATTGATTCTCTTTATTCTCAAGTAGTTTATAACCCAGATGTATTAGAAACGATTAATGGAGTTTTATCAGTATAATATTCACAGCGAACCAAGTTCAACTGTTCATATTTATTTAGTACTAGTAGTCTAGGAAAAGTTAAGAATTTATTGCTCCATTCGCCATACATTTTATCATGTCACTTGGTTTATTATTTAGTTTATTTATGTATTTCGATTTTTTTTTGTTTATTTTATTGATTTCCCGGGAGTTGGTCACGTGATTTGTTCACTTTAATATATTAGCTTCGTCTAAAATATTTTGCATTATCTGTGCTGTATATAGTCAATATATTTGCATTTTTGATGGGTATTATTTTATAAAGTATTTGATTTTCGTTTTCAATTTTTTAATAAAACAAAATTCATTTTGTGTCTGCATTTTGAGATGAGTTCTGATCGATTACTTATTATATGTGTTGGTCTGCGAAGTTAATTATTATTTTCTCTTCCAGACAGAGTTTACAGTTTTTGATTTATTGTTAACCAATAAATAGACTAATTAAATAAATAATAAATTAACAAACTATGAATAAACACATAAACAGACATAAATGTAATAATAATAATAATCACTAAAAAAAATTTAGTAGATAAATGATAAGTAAAAAGTTAACAGTTGACACTATAAAGTACCTCCAAATAATCGCATTCAGATGCACAATTATTCCTCCTCTTGAATATTCTGAAAAATAACCGGAACCTTTCACCCAATAATCATTAGGTTAATACAATAGTCTTGCTACCCATAATGCACCATTAACAGGCATATATAAATAGTTGAGCCAAAACAAAACACACGGACTGAAAATTGCGTTTAAGCATAAAACACATTATCACCGCTCAGTGTTGACCTCACTGTGCACTTATATATATATATATATATATATATATATATATATATATATATATATATAAGTGCAGTCTGTGGCATTACCTCTTCATTCTGAGGGTACACGGTTGACAGTTTTCTGGTTGCTGTTTCCGACTGGTAGTCAAGAGCCCTAACTCTTGCGTAGCGTCTGGAGCGGCCGCTCTGATCAACAGTTGCATAATACCGGGGTGTCTGTAGTGCCATGTCGCGCATGGATAGGTGTCCCTGCATTCACCGCCGGGGGGCAACCCTGAGGCCACATTATGTTGCAGGCTGTGTCGATTTCTCTCTGCCCACCTCATAGTCGATAACCGTCTGCTTGTTTTACTTCAGGCCTACTTCCTTTTCCAACCACAGTTTTACATGATTCATGTCTCGCACCTCTCGCCTGTGGAACTCCCTCCCCATTTCTTGTTTTCCTGATAGCTAATGTCAATCGACGTCTCCAGTTGCCTTAATCTATCCCCTTATCCTTCTATTCATCCTTTCCTCTATCACTCCTATTTTCTCTCGCTCCAATTCTCTGTAACCCCTTGTGTGTTAGTGGCTTCCCATCTTGCTTGGAGTGAAACGCTTAAAAAAAAAAAAAAAAAAAACAAGCATCAACCTTACTTTATCTAACAATAGTTGGGTATCTTCTTCTAAGACACCTCAGCATAAAGTCATGCCACATCTGTTTGTACAGCCTAAGATTACTATTATTTCTTCACAGGACACTTTAGAATAAAAACATGGAAGAATATTAGGTGTATACATGTTTTTTTGTTTTTTTTTATTATGAGTTTTCCTTCATCTTGCTTTTTATGCTAAAAATTCTGGCAAGATATGATTGGTATTATTATAAGTCAAAGATGATGTTATACATGAAAGGGATAAAATCGGACATTATGACACAAACCATGCCAACAGACCTTCATGTCTCGCACTTCTCGCCTTTCCCTGTTTCCCTGATAGCTATAATCTCCAACTATTCAAATGTAATGTCAATCAACGTCCCCTGATGCCCTGATCTTATCCCCTTATCCTTCTCTTCATCTTTTCCTCTATCACTCCTATTTGCTCTCGCTCCAATTCTCTGTAGTCCCTTGCGTGCTTGTGGCTTCCCGCCATGCTTGGGGTGAAAAAAAAAAAGTATCGGATTGTTGTATACGGAATAAATTTCAATACCCCCCCACACACACACAAAAAAAAATACTATTCTTAAAAGAGTGCGGAGTAGAGTAAATATGATTTATTCGAAAATTATGACATATTTCAGGAACATTTTTTGGAGGAAAAATGTATAATAATGTGGAAACAAGATTTTATCGATCTCAGTATCAATGAAAACAAACCTGTCCCGATGAAGTCCTAAGGAACAAAACACATCAAATGAAAACTTTTTCCACTTTGTCATACACACACACACACACACACACACACACATATATATATATATATATATGCCAAACTTTCCCTGACGATCCGTTTAGGTGAAACCTAGGTAGGTTTGTCTCACTAGCTCATCTATATATATATATATATATATATATATATATATATATATATATATATATATATTATGAAATGGACAAAAGTTCGACAATTATTTTTAAGACATTTTTTGTTTATACATTCTTTTTATTGATGCAAATATTTAAGTAAATGCTCTGTTTATAATAAACAGTATTAAACAACATTTATCGGCCTGAATATTTTCTGTGAAAATTTCTCGGACATTCAGGCCAGTAAATTTTGTTTAATACTGTTTATTATAAACAGAGCATTTACTTAAATATTTGTATCTATAAAAAGAATGTATAAACATAAAAATGTCTTAAAATAATTGTCGAACTTTGTCCATTTCATAATGTGTGATGTCATCTGTTTAGATTTGGATGCACTTTGAGCAGATATGAATGTACGTGAGATATTCATGGAAAATTTAAGTTTAAAGACAGTAAATTCGACCTTGCTAACCGAACGCTCCACTATAGCCAAATCGGTTAAGGCACGTGAAGCTAAATGACGGTTCCGTATAGGATACAGGTTCGAATCCTGTCGGAGGACGAATATTTTCTGTGAAATTTTCTCGGACATTCAGGCCGGTAAATGTTGCTTAATACCGTTTATTATAAACAGAGCATTTACTTAAATGTTTGTATGTATAAAAAGAATGTATAAACATAAAAATGTCTTTATATATATATATATATATATATATATATATATATATATATATATAGCAGTCGCCGCTATTCTAGTGCGGGAGAAAGTCTTTTCTAAATACTTTCATGACAATCTTAACTTTGCTATCCTCTCTCATGACTCACCAAAATATTATGTGAAAAATGGTAATAGTCGTAAGTAACGCATTATTAAATAATACACTAATTAAGCTGCACTGTGGATGACTGTACGATTGTCGAAACGCAGCCATTATAAAAAATACGTGGTAGCACTTAGCAATGTCAAGAACGAATGGAAACTACATGATACAAACACGGAACAAAAAAGACATCACCGGACCTGGCCGCTTTCCTCCAGGAAATACTACAAGTAAGACCAAAACGATATTAATGACAGGATTGAAGCAGTCATTTCTGGCCTGCCCTTGATATGTGATTGACTGTCCCTAGGGTAGTTCTAATACCGCCCGTTTGCAATGCGAGCCACGCATCGTGATGGTTGGCAGGAGTAAGAACCAACGGGAATAGCTGATCTGTTAGTCCGACATGGTAGAAGTCGTCCCAAGTTCCACGTCCCTACCCACCCAAATCGAGCAAGTAATGCCCCGAATAAACACCCAAATATATCGAAAACAGGGTTCGAGTCCTCATTTTCTCGCCGTGTTTTTTTCTTCTTTCGTTTCCTTGTGAACTTTCCTGGTTTTTGGATGTCCAATGACACGACCGAGATTGGAGACACAACGTAGTCTAGTCAATCACTTGTTGGTATAATGCTGAGCTTTGCTCAGAGCTATAGTTTATAACTACAACAGGATACGTCCTAAAATCAATATCTCTACAATGTGCCCCGATAAAGTGAACTATATGAACTCAATACAACATTACATACGAAATATAGAAAAATCAATGAACAAGAAGAACTGAAGGAAAAATTTCTGGTGGTTAAAAAAAGAAATAAACAAAAACAGAACAAGTGGATAATCAGAATAGACGACTGGACTCGGCTTTCTTGGATCCTTCTGACGAATTTTAACATTAAATCTGTGTTTCTCTAACTTTTTTTTTTTACTTCAGAGCGCACTTGTAGAATAACTAAAACTCTGGTGCGAACTTTAAATTTTAATAGGGAAAAATAAGTCATGAAATTTGAAAATAGGAAAATTATATCGTCTACTGAAATAAACATTTATTTTTAGCTATGATCAGCAGATATAGTATCCAGTTACTTCTCTTCTTTTTAGGAATTGAGCATCCAATTTGAAATATTAAATGACAAAGACTTGACTTTGATATGAAAGCAATGTGCTTGGTGTCTCTAGCTTTTTTCTTTAAAAAAGATAAAGACTTTTAAAGATAAAAATGATTCATACTTAGCACGAATTCCAGTGAAATCCATTACAGAAAATTCTAAGGATATCGTTCTTTAATGAAAATCCAAAATTGATCAATGGTCACCTGTTTATGCTTGGGTTTTAAGCCATGATCAGCAGATATAATGTCCAACTCTTCCTCCTCTTCTTCTTTTAAGGAATTTAGCATCCAATTTGAAATATTAAATGACAAAGACTTGACTTTAATGAAACCAATGTGCTTGGTGTGTCTATCATTTTTATAGATAAAGATTTTTTTAAATTTAAAAATAATTCATAAATTACACTTCTGTCAACTTGTGGCACACCTTGTTACCTTTCAGGTCGCATCAGTCCGCCTGGCCCCACCGGTTGAGAAACTTTGAACTAGATACTGAAAAATGTCTCTTTGGTTCTCCAGGTCAGTACCGCCTGAAAGTGATGTCGGTTTCTCGAAATAGCATCAGGCTTTCTTGGAATGACTTCAAGCCGAGCGTCTACCTTTATGAATACGTTTTGTTGCGTTCCTATCGATTCTATGAAAACATCAATTTTTGGCAAAGTGAATCGGTAAGTTATCATTCAAATCAATTTCACCTTCAATTTTTCACATCATTTTTGTGTCAGCGAAAAATTAATTCCCAGTGTCTCTATGTCATTTTGTCTTTTCTTAACCAATTCTTTTGCCTTTCAATGTCCATCATAAACAACAAATCTTCTCAATTCTCCAACATCTTCAATGTTTTCAAATATTTTAGTTATTAACTGAATAGTCGTACTTCGGAAATAATTCACGTTTGCCAATATTGATGGGTACCGATGTTACTTTCATATTTTATAACGCTTAGATGTCTAGAGATGAGTAAATAGCCTATCGTCTAGATTTCATTTAGTAACTACGGAAAAATGAACCACAATATAGATGCACTATAGTTCAAAAATATGAGGAAACTCCTGGTAATTGTTTAAATTGGACCCAAAAGTAGTCGTTTTGTCCTTTAAATAAGAGAAAATTATTATACAGACACATATGATATAAGTGATATTTTATTAGAAATTTTGTTATGACAAAAAAGAAAAAAGCATTTTATAATTAAATTTTGCTCTCGTCAAAATATCCTCCTTTTGCACAACTTTTTGGCATTCATTGCAAAAGTTTCTCAAAGTATAAGTTTGATAATTGATTCTATTCTTTTTTCAATGGCTCTAAGAAGTTGTTTTTCCTTTCTTGGATTCATCCCATGCTTATCCTATCAGTGTTATTAATATATAATTAACGACCAGTGTTATTATTATTATTAGATAGATAGATAGATAGATAGATAGATAGATAGATAGATAGATAGAATTCACTTTATAACATGACTTCGTTGTCAAGATTTTGAATTTTCCTATACTTGTATTTTGATTGGTCCATCTAGCTTTTGTAACAACGGTTTCCCCTTGTGAAGGATTGTTAATTAATTCGAAACTTTTAAAACCATTTATTTTACATTCAACATCATCACTTGATAAGACACCGAGGGTGTTGAAACAAAATGGCTATTTTTGTAGTGATTTTATAACATATTTATGTTATAATTTTTTTTTAAATAAATAATTATATCTGCTCTACTTTGTATTGAGCACTCTTTTAAGAATAGTATTTGTTGGTTATTGGAATTCATTCCATATATACCAATCATATACTTGGGTATATATATATATATATATATATATATAAGTAAATGAAAATGAAAAACTGGTGTTACGTTTCGTTTAGACTGAACGTATTCAGACACTTAACGGCTTTATTGCCTAAAAGTGTTCATTTTAAACGAAGCACGTCAGAACACAATGTGTCTGTCTTTTACAGTTGTTCACTTTTAAACGCGTTAACAAGTAGTAATTTACTGGATAACGTGTTTTGTTAGACGTTAATGATCTGTGCTATTATTATTATTATTATTATTATTATTATTTCCTTTGATTTCTGGTGAACTCATTTCTTTCTAGGACCCGACCAGAGACTTAAGGTCAGAAATGGCATGCTGACATTTTTCCACTGAGCTATTTAAAAAAAAAAGATATAAAGCCCTTCGTAAGGTGTGAGCTGTACTCGTGAGAACAAGTTTTTTGTATTTCTTTAATGTGTGAACTGCAAGGATCACTTCAATGAGTCTCTAGGAATCTTTTTCAGTCAATCTGAGGGTTCCGACTACAACTGGAATTGTTAATGTTCTTATGTGCCACATTTTTGAGATTTGGATTTCAAGGTCCTTGTATTCTGATGGATTTTGGAAGATATTCAAAGATACATTGCAGTCTACAGGGACTGCTATATCAATAAGGAGGCATTTTTTTGTTTGTGGTCTCTAATAACGATGCCAGGGCGGTTAATTTGATTGTTCTGTCTGTGTGTATTGTGTAGTCCCATAAAATTGTAACAGGTCCTATCTCCGTAACCGGGTCTGGGTGGTGTTCATACCAATTTCTTTCAGTTTTCTTTCCTGTAAAAGTTGCAGATTTTTCAGTGCAGATATTGGCCCAATCTGTCATGTCATGTTTTATATTCAGTGGGTGCCAATATCTTGCAACCTGATACTAGATGATTAATTGTTTCTGGAATTTATCACAGAACCTGAATTTTGGGCTAACACAATATTTTAGTATGTGTGCTTCATAATTTCTAGTCAACAAGCATTGGTCCTTTGTAGCAAGAAATAAAACCCCCGTTTTCAGCATTTAACCCTGCCATACGTAGCCACAGATGGGTACGGGGTTTGTCTACATCAGCTTGTTTGGTACGGGGAGAGCATTGACCGTGAAGCGGTTTATCTTGCCATCGTTTCTGTATCTGGTCAGTTGCATTTGCCTTTTTTATGTATTTTGCAGCTTCAATCGGTGTATTGTGCTTTACTTGTATTTCTACACCCACTTGAAACTCCATTTTGAACTTATTGGCTTCCTTTATTATTATTATTATTAGATAGATAGATAGATTGATAGATAGATAGATAGATATGGACAGACTGGGGTAGAAAGTACCGGAAAGAAAGACTGTGAATGTAGTGGCGGCGATAACATACATATGTGTTTAATGTGTGTTTCAGTGAAATGGAAAACCTTATCAATTTTAAATCTGTTCATTTGTACCCTCTTACTTCTTTAAATAACGACCTGTATTCATACTTAAGATTGTTATTGCAATAGTTTGCTAAAGTTGTTAAGCTGAAATATTTAACGATGCGATAGTAGAATTTCAACGGATATAGTCGAAGAACTTGCCATGAAGAATTAAGATTCATTAGAAAATTGAGATAGGAAAACCGGGAATTATTCACGGGTATTTCTCGGAATTTTTAATTGTCTCTGTTTCTTCATGCTATATTTAAGTTTTGTGCGACGAATAAATTGTATAATTTTTTTTCAAATACAAGAAATCGTTTGGAGTTTTACAATCAGCACTGAGACCAGTTTAGATGCATTCGAAAGAATAAAAATGGCTTTTAAAAATGTTATTTCCTAGGATAATTTAACCAAAGCACCAAAGCATATTTTTTAACTAGATACACTTTTATATTCAAAAGGAAAGAACGAAGGAAAAATAATGATCTTCCCGAACGAGAACAACAGATCCACCCTGTGGCGACAGTGACGGGGGAGAGATGTTACCACGAATTGGTACCTCAAGAGTGAAATTATCGCAAATCTGAAAAGTCTTTTCATCGTGTGACAAAATATTCGTGTCAAAAGAAAGATTTATTTTTGACTTTATGTGAAACGGACACAAAGAGCGAATCTATTCAATAACTTGATTTGAATGCAGCTCAATCGAGACATAAAAGTAAATTGAGCTGTAGGTAGCGATCCAGTCTAGTAGGCCAACCAAAGCAAAGCAAGAGACATTTACCTATGGTACATAAAATTGGTTTCCCAAGATGAAAGAAATGCAGGTCTCATTCTGTCGAGAAGCATCTGACATTTAATAAGACTTTTCGGCCTCTAGGCCGGTAGTTTCACAGTTTGTATATATATATATATATATATATATATATATATATATATATATATATATATATTAAAAAAGAAAAAAAGAGATGTGCTGCAAACGTTTTTGGTTGTAATGTTGATTTATTTAGAAAAAATATTATGCTTTGGTTTACATAATTTTAGGACACGTGTTTCGGGTCTCGCGACCGTCTTCAGGTAAAAGTGGAGATTTCCACATATTATTAAAAATAATAATTAATTTTTCCTCATGTTCAATGTTAAATATTCTCAATATGAGACATTTTCTGTTTGTGTGTTGGTAATCTGAATTTCTTTATATATATATCCAAGTATAGGATTGGTGTATACGGAATAAATTCCAATAACCAACAAATACTTTTCTTAAAAGATTGCTCAATACAGAGTAGAGCAAATATAATCATTTATTCGAAAATTATAACATAAATATGTTATAAAATCATTACAAAAATAGCCAATTTCTTTCAACACTTCTGATGCCTTATCAAGTGATGGTGCTGAATTTTTTGGTGTGATTTTATAACATATTTGTTATATTTTCGAATATATATATATATATATATATATATATATATATATAACAATATATATATATAACAATATATATATATATATAACTATATATATAATAACTATATATATATATATATATATATATATATATATATATATATATATATATATATATAACAATATATATATATATATACAACAATATATATATAACAATAATATATATATATATATATTAAAAAAAGCGTGAAACCCAGGGTCACAAACTCACATCAATCCAACCAAATATGTTAGCTCTATTTCTGATATTAAGCGCTTTCTAATAAGTACCGCGCATATAATATATAAATAATTATATATATATATATATATATATATATATATATATATATATATATATATATTATATTTATATATTTACACACTTTTCACATATATATATAATTGTTGAAACTTGACTAATGCATGGAATAATAATGCAACACAAAATGTACTTAGAACAAAATGTATTGAAACAAGAAAGTGTACACAATATTTACATATAGTCTTTTGTATATTCCTGGTAAGACCGTTCCTGGAGAATGTGTTGATTGAGTCGCAGTCAGGGCAGAGTCTCTGGTTGAATCTCTTGATTCCTCCCTCTCTTCCCGGTACCAACCATATTTGTATGGTCGGTACTCCACTATGCAAATTAGGTGGATCCTACCACAACAATAATATATATATATATATATATATATATATATATATATATATATATATAACAAAACAAACTTATAAAATTTAAAATAATAGCAATTTTTTCCTATTATAGTTTTACACAGACCTCACCATACGCATATACGTGTGTGCGAGGAAATATTATTCAGCGAAAAAATAAAGAAACCCCCTGCGTGTTGACATCACTACATTCAAGAGAGCTATTGTCTACACATCACATCACATCATTGAAATTCAAATGCGTACGTATGTACACAACAGCACACACATACATATATATGTCAAGTCCCATACTGTTCACATATGTTTATGCTTGTGTGACCTCCGGTGAGCGAGCGCATGTGCATGTGCGTCTGCGTACTTCAATGGGCGTACGAGTGTGCGTGTATGTTTGCGTAAGTATGAGTGGCGTCACGATCGCAAAAGCGTGAAACCCAGGATCACAAACTCACATCAACTCAACCAAATATATATATATATATATATATATATATATATATATATATATATATATATATATATATATATATATAGCAGCATGGCCCGGCGTTGCCCGTGCTTGATTCAAAAATCGTATGACTCATAAAGCAATCGCTATCACTTGACTTAAAATATTTTTGCCCTTCCTTGCCTTTTATAGGTGTGCCCTTTGCCGTGCTGATGTTGCTACATGCCTTACTTCTTGCCTATCTCACACTGTGAATTTTTTCTAAGCTCTATGCTAAACATTAAATCTGTTACAAAAAAAGAACTAAACAAAATGAACACAAAACGATCAGCTTTAAAAAAGGACTCGTAACTGGAAAAACCGAATGAAAAAAGAATGTTAACAACAAATACTTTTTCACACCCAACCCAGTTCTGTGGAATCAGAATCAACATTGAGTTTAAGCAAGCGAATGAGCCAATTGGAGTAAAGTGCCATGCAGATTTAAATTTTTCCCACTTGTGATGAATGCAGCTATTGATTTTTTTTTGCATCCTAGCATGCTAGTTAACATTTGTTTTACATCTGTTTTCTCTCACGCTGGCCAGTAGAACCTTCCTGCCTATTCGTGGCAGCCAGCTATAGGCTCTCACTCTGGCCAGTAGAAAATGGCCGCAAACTACATGAAAACTGCCGTAGAAGCATGAAAAAACCGATTATTTCCACTATCGATGGGAGTTGGGAAATGCAAAGTCGGTCTTGGCCTTCCCGCTAACTTGGAGCATGTGCATGTAAATTTTGGTGCAAATCCGTCGAAAATTGCGGCCGTGCATTCGTTACACACACACACACACACACATCCTGCTTTTTATAGATAGAGATGTAATAGGAAAGAACAATGAGATTTATAATTCAGAGTTCTTAGCATTTATTTTTATTTTTAAAAAGTAGTGCTCGATACAACAGTAGAGCTTAATATTAGAATTGTTTTTTTTTTTTAAATATATTATCATCGCAATACCGAAATTCTCATTTTTCAAAACTGAAACTTCAATTTAAATTCAATCAAAAAAATTAAATTTAGAATACAAAGTTCCGTTCAATTATCAAGCGATGCTAAAAATAACTTTTAGAAATTGATTTACTTAATTTATAAGTCCAGACAAAATTTTAAAAGTATATATAAAATTATAAATGTATAAAAATACATTTTATAGTAAAAATACCCGCAATACATTATTATATAAAAAAAAATACCAACAATATATTTTTGAAGCAGAGTTACCGACAATAAATTTTATAGCAATGACCGGCAATACATTTTATCTGTAACGGAAACCATAAAATATGTTCAAAATTAAATAACCCATAGAGGTGTTGATATGCCTCTAAATATTGGACGCACCTGGCAAAGAGAGGTTTACAGGATGAAGCAGAATATTTTATTTTGGACAAGAAAAAGACCCCAGAATAACGTCAAAATTCGTGAAAATCTTTCTTTCTTTTATAGTCAGTTGTGCTGAGTTTAATTTGTAACATATATAAATGTAGATAGATAAGATAGCGACGGTTACAAAGCATTTCTCGGAGTTTCCAATCAGGTCCCCCCATCGGTCGCCTGGTGAGGAGATAATACGGCCCGGCCGTGGGTGCTAGAAATGAAAAACTCTACTCAGTACGAAGTAATTTTTTTTATTATGTCGGTGCTATTTGTGATCAGAAAAAGATTGGCATCATTTAGACATGAAAGAATTGGATCTAGTGTTATCTTCTTAATTCCTGTTCTTTTATTGTTCTCTCGCGTTAATAACATTTTCTTGTTCTCATATTCTCTCACACTCAGTACCCCCTTGTGTCTTAGTGGCTTTATTGCCTTGCTTGAGTGATATGATTATTAAAAAATATACCAGAGCGCTAACAATATAGGAACGTGCTCAACAATACATTTTAAATCAGAATTACCAACAATAAATTTTATAGCAAAATGACCAGCAATACATTTTATCTGTAACTATCTTTCTCGCTCTTTTTTTTTTTTTTTTGTTTCTTCAATCGCCATCTTGAATCCCGTTCATCTTTTGTCCTTTCCTCAATCAATCGATATTTTCACAGAGTCTGAGTCTAACCAAACTCTCCACTTTGATAAGTCGACCACCTGATGGTATTCTATCTCTTGCTTTAAAGTCTTCACGGATGGTTTGTTACCAGTTGATTATCAGCCGGCAATTTTTCGTTAGAAATAAAAATGGAGTCTTGTCGTATAGCCAGGTTATTTCATTCACCGACTGTAGATCCAATTCGAAGTGGAACAAAAAGACTCTTCGTACTTTGGTCGTTTTTTTCTTTTCTTTTTTTCAAATCGGTCACACATCAAGTTTTTTCAGCCTCAATCGTCTGAC